TTCTGGGCCTGAAAAACGACGAATCGAGATATCGGGAGGAACGCGACCACCCGTGACGTACCATCTAGTGTTGTCAGTGTCGAATCCTTTGATCATCTTATAGCACTCCTTAAACCAGGAGTCCAATAGCTGCTCCACTTCCTCAGCGTTGATCGACTTCATGGGATCTTGCTGCCACTTCAACTGACTTTTCTGGAAACTTATCACTGTATTCCACAACCTGACAGGATCGCACACAATCAACCGAGCCAAACAGGTCCGCTCAGAATTTCATCGTATTCACGTTGAAACCGCTCACTTGTAGTAGCTGGCATAATCGTCGATCATGCCGTCGAGATCCCAGTAGTCTGTCGGCGTTAGTCCCAACAGAGACGCTCTCGCTCGGAATGATTTTACTCTCTCCACTCCTTGGTCCAGAGCATTCCGGAGCAACTCGACATTGCCTTCGTACTCCGAGGCCCCCTTGCTGTATTCGTTGTAATCGTGGCGGATATTGTCAAGAATCTAAACATCATGATGATCAGAACTGTGAGCCCTTTCCGAGCATGTCGGCAGCCACCAATATGTGAATAATTCGCGCACGATTACACCGGGCCAAAACATCAGATCAACTTCGAACAAACACAGCGCTTAGGGGTAAAAACGCTCGCCAGTTTCGCTTCCTTATGACCTTCTGCCATTTCTTCATGTCATCCTGGAAGACTCCTTCTTCTCCCTCCAGCACCGCTATTTCCGCGATATTCCTGTTCACCGTGAAATGCCACAGCCGTATCGTGCCGTCGTCACTGCACGTCGCTAAGCACTGGCCTTGCGGAGTCCATGTCGCGAACCTCATAGACGCTATGTGACTGATGAAAGTGAACACACAAGTAATGCAGAACCAACCAAGGGTTGTGTCCTACCCGGGCATGGGCTCAGATCTCGGTTTCCCAGAAACAGCACTGAACAGTTGTACGAGAACGTCTTCGTTGGCAGAGACAAGTGTTGACCCATTGGGAGACCACGACTGAGAAAACGACAACATATATGAATCCACACACTCCACCATTTCTCTGTCCTGATAGCGGTCAGCATTACTACTATGTAAGGTGCTCGCCGTGAATTTTAAATTCGACGCTAAATTTCTGACATGAGATTCAACTTGTGGTCAAAAAAGTGTAGTAACGAGTGGTAGCACTAGATGACGTACAGTGTGTGTCAATTTGATGTGTAAATGTGGAAAATGCGTTTTTTCCGAGATTAATAAGAATCGATCTGAGTTTATATCACATGAACATGTGATAGTGGTAACCTTCCTAGACTACGATAGCGAAGTTGATCATTATCATCGATCCCAGGATAGAGAACGCACATTCTCCACATTTCCACATCAAATTGGCACACACACTGTAGTTCACTTCCAAGCTCTAACCTCTCCACAATGGCAAGCAATAACCTCACGACAACATAGAATATTACCACAAAGCTGCTAAGGCACTGTATGGGCTCAATGTGCAGAGAGTAGTCCTTCAAGTTCCATATCCTGATTGTTGCGTCAGTGCTCGACGTCGCCAACAGATTGCTGCCTTTCACAGGGCACAAGGCAACGCATGAGACTCTCTTATTACAATGACCTGATCAGACCCACAGTACTGAATTCGACCTAGCAGACGAACACTGAATTCCCACCTTCGAAAACCACGGGATCGCCAGGATATCTCTCAGGTTCCGGAGGGCCTCCTTCCCCCCAACCCTCCTCGGGTTCATCCGGTATGGGCATCACCTTTTCAGGCCCCCTTACAGCGTCCAGTTTCGCGATGTCCCAAAAGCGTATGAAGCCGTCCTTGCCGCCACTCACGACGATATTATCATCATAAGCAGCCGAACAGTCTACCCAAAATTGCTCTATCGGATCGCCAACACGATTGCATGGGTCAGCGGCTAATGTCGCAACCTCGTCCCCCGACGCAGCATCCCAAATTCGCACTGAGAGGTCGATACCAACAGACAGAACCTTCTTATCTCCGCTGCAGTACGTGAGAGAGTTAACCTCGCCGTTATGACCGTACATCGGCCCTCCATAGCGCGCGCCCGATGTGACATCCCATTGCGCAATACTGCCGTCCTCCAACGATACCGCGATCAGCTTTCCACTGGCGCTCAGGGCAGAGCACCCAATAGGCTGACCAGCACTGATAGAGGACCGTAGAGTAGACGTCGGGATATCCCAAATACATATGCTCCCGTCTGCTCCTGCGGATACCATAGTCACCTCATCTGTGCACCCAACGAACGGCACCGACTTCTCGTGCCCGTCCAAAGGGTCTCCTCGGGGCAATGCGACTGTTGGCCGCAGATAGTACGAACAGACCTCAGGCGGCAGTCGAATCATAGGAGGGTTCTTCGCAATCTCAGAGTCCTCGTCCGTTCCTGGTGGAACCGTCTCCGGCCCGGCAAAATTTAGTACAAGGGAATGTGGCGCACTGGTTGTGTCGCAGAAATACTCTACTTGCAGCTTGTGGTAGCCGGCCGTGAGCTCATTCTCGTATAGTGCATCTTCCTCTATGGCTAACTTACCATCCAAGTATACCTTCGCACACTTGTTAGATTTCACCTGTAGGGCGTACCTGACGATATAGACCTAAGCACAGACCCATATTTACATCTATATTCAAATATTCCAATCCTATCACGAATGATGATAGACTCTCGGGGGAAAAGGTTCTTCCAATGAGGCGATCAAGATGATGCTTACTTCGCTTTCTTTTTCCCGCCACATTTTAGGTTGAGATAAGTAGTAAACTTCGCTGCGAACGACTCGCTGAATCGGCCCGGAAGGTTTTCCCAAGCAGCCCCTGTGGTAGGCTCGAAGTCCAGCTGCTTCTCAACACGGACAACATCGGGCGACTTGTCCTCAGGGATCTTCCCTCGGAATTGTTCACAGAAGTACTCTCCCAAGAACCCTGGTTTCCGCACTACCTAAAAGATTGGCGAGACACTTCAGAGTTTTCTCGAACAGATATCTACAATCTGCTCAGATGCTGCCCGCATCACGTGTGTCGAATCAGAATGAAATACTAGGATCAACTCCAACTAGAGAGATTTTTACGCGGGGCATGCAACAGGCACTCCTTAAAGTAGTGTGGCGGAATTATACTGTAAAATTTGTACACATTCCCATTTACATGCGGAAAATTTGGAAAATTTTTCGTTGGTTTCTAAACACTTCTACCATATTTCGTGTGGAAACTCCTGAGCCACAACAGCTGAGGAAAGCGGATAAATACTCCAACACTGCCATCAGGAAATGCGCAGGAGATGGATCTGCGCATCTAGATTCTAACAAGCCAGCGACTCTGTCTCGAAATGCGGGTAGAGTGTTTAGTTTGCTCCTTCATTTCCCCCTAAATATCCATCCTCTCCCGTGTCTACCTCCGATTGCTCTACAGCGTGCTGAAGGACTGCTGCCGGGACCTTCATCTGCTCATCGTTCGTATCCGGACCAGAGTAGAGGAGATTGAGATGATTTTTCGGACCCTCGGATGATGAAAAGAACCTGTCAAATTCAGATGGCACATCCATTTTCCCTATCTACCCCAGCCATCGTGATCTGCTACGAAGCACGAAATTTTTCCACTGTAAGCCGTCATAATTATGTGCGCCAAGCACGGTCATGTCCACTACTCCAATAAAGATGAAGAGTTACAAACGGAGAGCGACGTTGGCCACTCACAACTTACTGAACGGTGATTCTGTGGTTTCCTGGCATAAGCTGCATCGCTCCGCTAGGACTTTCACTCCTGTTATTGACCACCAGTTTGTCATTCACATGCATTAGTGCAGGTCCGCTGCTGTCGAGAGTAAAAGTGTATTCGCCCTTCTTCCCAATCACCAAGAACGCCGACCATCGGACCGCCACGTTTTTCCGGAGCGCCTCGGGGACATGCCCCCAGCTATCCGGACCCTTGCAGATTTCCTGTTCAACACACACATAGTCAGGACGCAGTGCCATCAGACTAGGCACTCGATCACCGACGGCTATACCACCAAAGCCGAAATACTCCGTGAAAACGCACTCGGGGAAATCCTTCTTCAACACAGCGCGCTCGCCCGTGGCCGTACTAGTGATAGTCGTCAAAGATATTCTTTCCATTTCTATCATGAGCTTGCCCAAATTCAATTTGATCGCCGTCCTCGTGCGGTCCTCCCTGGGCTGTGCTACGTTCCATGTCCCCACCGCACCCGAGCGGAGTGAGCACATGCCGTCAGCTTTGAGAACCAGCTCATCCTCAGTCACCTTTCCCGTCGGCTTCCACTCCCACACGCCACAGAATTCCATCACTGCATCACTCTCATCTTTCGGACGCACCCAATGAGCCGGCACTTTCTTATCCATCCCGCCGTGCGAGTACGCGATATCATATGTCCCGTTAGAGTAACTCTCCTGGATCTTACCGCCACACCAGCGCCCCTTGCCACGATAATTGACCATCACCGCATTCTCAGCTTTCAAACGTTTCATCGCGAACCTGAATTCACACTCCCAATTTTCTGCTGCCACCACTCCTCACCTGCCATCCCAAAAGGCCTGGTCATATTCGAACTTCTTTTGGCTCTGCAACACGACTTGGAAGCCTGACAGTTCATTCACCCGCCGCTTCGCAGTCTCATCTTGTGCCAAGTTGTTCAAAGCTCGAGCCGCTTCACCCTGAAACAATACATCCCTAGAAAAAATCTAATCACCGCATCGAAGAGTTACCGTCCATGGTCAAAAACACAACCAAAGGCGCTCAGATTACCTGCAGAAGCGCCGAGTCTGTGTGATTGTTCATAGCCTCCACAACCATCTTGATCACACCAGCCTCAGCGAGCTTACGGCACAGATCAACATCCTGGGCCAAGTTAGCGACCGCCCGGCACGCGTTCTCTGCGACTGCCGGGACGCTCATGAACTGCTGGAATCGCTCCGCTAAGATCTCAACGCCGCCCTCTCGAGCGAAGGAGGACCGGACTCTGCCACCATTGAGTGTTGACGGACTTGTACAATTCGCCAAACATTGCAAGGCCGCGGCAGCCTGAGCCAGGGAAAAATACTCGGAAATTTCACCCGACTTTGAGTCGCGCACCTCCTCGTCCTCCTCACAGTGGTGGAAGAGATACCGCACCACAGGGTCCACGTTCTGCACAGCCAGCATGGTGGAACGGGCCGCCTGCGGTCGCCAATCCGGGAAGCTCATGACACTCAGAAGGTCCACAGCGCATGCAGCGTCGCAATTCTTCCAGTATCCCACACAATTCGGCCTAGCAAGGGAATTCCGTGCAGTCAGGTTATGGAATTATACAAGGCCACTTCTCACCTCGACAGAGCCGGGCGGATGCTTTCTGGTGCCTTCAAAATCTCCGTCAACATGCTCGCTGTGTTACCCACATCACTGAGTATCACTATATTGCCGCCTGCTTCTTTGGCCTCCTGCACATCTTTCTGGACTTGTATATTCTCGAAAACCCCCGGTCGTAGAATGACAACGACGTTCAGGCTTTCAGCGCTCTTGCTGGGAACTGAGATATCATTCCCAATCCTCACCAAGACGAGCTCAGTTCGAATAGACGGCCCTGACGCCGGCGAGTAAGAATCCCCGACTCACCTGCCATCGGGTCCGCTTTGGGTGCTGCCTCTTTTTTATTATCCTTCTTCTTGCTATCTTTCTCTTTTTCCTTCTCAGCCAGATAGTCGATACACAGCATCGCACGAACCTTGAATCACCATAACGCAAACCGATCGTCACCAACAGTATGGGGAAATCTGTAAACCACAATATGAAAATTCTGCGGAAATTTTGGGAAATTCTTGTTGATTTTTCACACTTCTGCTCTAATTCGTAAAAAAGCTCCTTTGTTTGGGGAGAGAACTCCTGAGCCCAGCTGAGGAAAGCAAACATATAGTCCACCACTGTTCACAAAAATTTTCAGCATCAACAGACTTCTTCCCGCCCTACATTGGGAGTATGGTCCCTGATACTCTTGATCAAGTCTAGAGCCATGCAAGTGCCCTCCTTGGACCGATCATGGCAAATGAACAAGTCGTACCTGAAGACGCAGTGGTGAACCAATAAGGGTCCTCAGTCTGAAGGAGAGTTGCGCTTCCTGAGCAATTCATGATATCCACGGAGTTCAATAGCAATGTAAGAAAATATGCACATGGTCACCTACATATGTTAGTGGCAAGATGAGATTTTTGAGCGGAAATTTGTAAAATTGTTGTGCAAACTTCTATCCGAATTCGTATATAAACTGCTTCAGTTACTGGAAAAACTCCTAAGCTTAGCTGCAGAAAGCGAATATATATTCCACAAAACTCAATAGCAGTCTTACGTTTTCTGGAACCGCTTCCCTTTGCCCATATGCTTAGCCTTGTCCACCAAATACTTGTAATGAACACCCACATCCCTGTCGCCCTCTAATATACCTATCACGGTGAACATCAGGCTACTACAATGTGCGACATAAAGAGACTTGAAATTCTCCGCAACTCTTACCCATTTTCTTGGACACATAGGCATGGTAGTTGTAGAAAGTGGTGAATGATATCTCGCTGTCCAGGGGTAGTCCCGGGTAACTGATCACCACCAGCCTGATGCCTCCGGATCGGCTCCAAATCTTACAGCATGAGCGAGTAGATCCTTCTGCTGATCATCTCGCTGTATTGACCACCGAGCGTCTCAGTGACGACCTAGATATGATGATCAGCGCCGCGCAGTCGGAAGATTCCTAGGATGCTCACCCTGTCAACCTTGACAAACTGGTTCCAGTCGATCACGCCCTTCTTTTCAGTATCATACAGCTCGAATAAGCTTTTGATATTGGTGTCAATATCAGAGGGCACTTTCACATTCTTTATAGAGTCTTGCTTAGCCACCTTGTAACTGTAAAGGCCAATGAGCAACCGAACCGCCCAGGTTCGATCCCGCCTCCCTACATCTCCATGCGCCCATCACTCGGGAGCTCCATTGCTTTACTATTCTTATACTGCAGCCGGAATGACGGTACCCCAGCCGCCCGAGACCTGAATCGCGAGTCGAACGAGAGGCAACCTTCCCGAGAGCCACGCGCACGACCAAACCCCTTCGAAACGCACCTCGGTGACTTGATATCATCCATTTTCACAATACCCGGCAGCAACAACTTCCTCACACATGCCGCAGCATGCTCTTGGATATACGAGTATACCGGGGATCTGAATGACCATCAAAACACGGTCAGTGCACGTATGTCTCACCTATGAAGGCAATCTCTATGGACAAGGTCTTCACAACGTAACAGCTCAGCTTCTACTCCATCTATAGCGTCCGTCACGATGTGCAACAGAGTGATGTGAACCTGACCGACCAAAGGGAGTTGCCTGAGTTGTCGCGCGCCACGAAATTACCTCCTGCTCCAGCGCCACTCTGACTTCTTCGCACAGTTGCTCATCAGTGAAGCAATTGGACGTCACCAATATGATCAAGTTGAACGACTCTCTCACATTGGATATCTGTCATCACCAACAGTTCTACGTCGACCCCCTGGAGGATCTTCTTACTACCTTACTACTCCCCGACATACTGTTCAGTCCAGAAGCACTACCATTATTCAGCGCCACGGACAGTGCCGGTGCAAGCACACTGAGTTGCCTGAAAACCAAAGAGGACTCTGATCCCCTCTGAATATGTCTGAGACCTCCCAAACTAAGCCACTCAAAATTCCATTCTTTCGCTCACCGAGGTTTTCGCCAATTAAAAAAGCGACTATCGACCTCATGCGTGGTGCATCTAATCGTGCTGCTGACTCTAGCAGACGACAATCACTATTAGCTGCGTCCAGTTCAAGTCGCGCTGATACTATTCGCAACGACTGGCCTACTTATGCAGGTGTTCAGCAGTCGCAGGGGCTTTCTCCGACACGATGTGCTCGGCACAGGTTATGCAGAAATCATATCGCTTTCGCACTGACGACCGCATCCTTGCCTTCGAGACCTGATCACCGACAGTCAACACACCGTCGAATTTGCTGAATCTCCAGAAACTCGAACGACACAAAAAACAGACTCGTATACACATCCACTACGATGTCCCAAAGAGACCTCGGGTTACCACAACGAAGAAACCCTCCCAAGTTTTCACGCGCGTTCCAAGCGAGAAGCGAATTTATCAAAATCGCGAAGAAAATTATATGAAAATCATTTTCAGCGGTGAGTCATACCTTAGCGCCAAAGCGTAGTATATCCTCCATAACCTGCCGAGATCTCTCAGCGCGCACGTGGTCTACCTTCTCTTGGTCGCTTAATTTCAGCAAGGTTAACAGAAGATCATTGCATTGGTCAACTAGATCCGGTACCTGGAGAGACGACTCGCTAATATCCACCGTTATAGAACAGTAGTCCTGGAAAAATTCTGCTGCGCTACACAATGAGAAGATTCTCTCGAGTTGAACGAGGAACGATTCCATATGCGAGACTCCAGGACAAGTAGAAAAGCCTTCTACTATGATGGACAATTTAAAACGCGTGTGGTTACATAAACAACGTTCTTTTTTCCCGCCAGAGTTTCCCTATACGATTCTGGAGCAGCCTCGAGAGCTTCCGTCAGCGCGGGACACGTGGCGATCCAGTGCAATAGTATCTGGTCATATAATGCTATCATTGGTCGAGACACTCTTCTCCTTACTATGTTCTTCTTGCCCTCTATAGCTTGCTTCAGTGCATCAGCCACGAGCTCGTTCTTGAAAGTCTCAGGACCACCTAAAAGCTGTTTTTTCTATCTGATTTCGGCATGGCTAGCCTACAGATGAGAAAGGCAACATTCTGAGACTTTATGGCGTAGTCGTTTTGGTCTGCCTTTGGCTCCTGGACCTGCGACCAAGCCCATTGGTTATCGAGCAGATGCCAGGAGCTGCTCTCACTGTGAAGCCCAAGATGGTGAGCATGCTCCTGTAAATGGTCGTAACATTGTGAGCAGACTCCAGGCACTCCGTGTCGTGGACTAGTATCAAGTCGTCCGACATTCTCTATAAAGTAAGTCTAAGACCACACCTCTAGGACGATTGAAAAGTCGGTCTGGTCGTTCCTAGCCAGGAGCACGAGCCTGATCATCTACGAACTAGATACACTCGTGAACTTGTTGCTGTACATATGGTCCGCATCTCAGCCGAGCGGCGAGCATATTGGTTAGGAGCAATGGTTAAACAGCAATTGGTCTCTCTCAGCGACCAATTGAGTTCTCTGAGGTATGCCGTATTCTTCCGTTCGTCAGACTATTCCCCATGTCATGCTTTCTCAGCTCATTATGTGATGCAACTTGATTTCCCATGAGCCATAATAGCATGTTCATGGCGATCACTTCCTGCAACCCATTTCCAACCACTCGGATCAATTTAGGGCGAGCGAGATTTTGATATGCGCTCTGTCGAAGGGAATCCAAGTATGCAAGGTAGGTTTTATATTCAAATCGAGAATTCGAGGCTTTAGACATTGTCATCTTCACCTCAATATTGACCGAAGACGAGGAGCTTGCCGAGGAGAGTCAGAGCGTTCGACTATGTGCTGCCAGCATCCGATTGAGTGTGTCGAGTTTGAACCTACTACTGCTTGCCATGTGTGCACTGCGTGTGGCGAAGTCATCTCGGACGTCTCGACGTGTGAAGGCTTTGTCGCCGGCCGCGATAATGGTCACGATGAATTTCAGAAGGAAGGCGCCGAATTTATCAACCTCTCGTCCAGTCCCGGCAACGAGCCCACACGTGGGTCCAAGGTGGTGCGCGGTTTGAAGACAGTCTTTGCTTCCTGTGAGCCGTTCGGGTCTGCGCCCCATGGGCCTGGTGAGGCCTTCATCGACCGACACGAACGAGATCTCCAACAAGCGGCTACACAGCATGGTATCGACGTTGAGATGGGCGAACAGTGGCAGAGGCTCTTGGACGTGACGAAGTTCTTTGCTGATAGAAGATACTCCTACAATGAGAAGAGGAACCGGTATTACTTCGGCAGTCCCCAGAATATTAAAATTAGTTTACATGGTATATGTAGTTTCGTGGCGCGTGAACTCGGCTGTGAATCTCCGAATCATCGAGAGCGCTACATAGACGGCGTCAATATGAGCTCGAGGAAGCTAGCCATGGCCGTGCGACGGATCGGCTGGGACATCCGGAAGTATGCCAAGGAGTCCGGCGATCTGGCCGTCGGCCCTACATTCGCTGAGCGCAAGCAGGCCGCTGATACAGCGCCTATGGTGAAGCGCGTAGCAGAAGCTCTTGATCGAGTACAGAAACGCCCACGTTCCGATTGATATTTACAATATGCTGCACATCGTTATCATTTTTCGCAAGGCTCGCTTGTCTCGTTGTAGTGTTTCCGAAGGCTCGCACTCAGTTCCGTTCCATGCCGGGCGACCAAACCCACGTGGCCTGGGGCTACAGGTTCCTCAACAGGGGTGTTTGCTTCACCTCAGGCTACTTCCTGGCTTATGCCTTCTGCAACCCAGACGTTGACAATGTGTAGTAATGCAGACCCAGTGTAGAAATATATGTTCGCTTTCCTCATCTGAGTTCGGGAGTTTCCTCACTGATTATAGGAGTTCATATACGAATTCGGGTAGGAGTGTTCAGAGACCAACGATAATTTCCCAACCTTTTCCTCGAAATTTTTATATAGGCAGCGGCACATGTAGTCGTCCATGTGTATATTTTTCTTCACTGTTAAGTCTCAATACAGGTACGATGTCTTCCCTCTTAAACGGTCGCGTTATGCGTTCATAAACGCCTATAAAGTGAAGCCTGAAGACCAATACACGTTCGAATGTCGATGGAAGGACTTGGCCCGATACTACCAAATGCAACCTGGTGCGCTAGAGACAGTGATGATACTTTCTATGTCTATATAGGGTACTTGTTCAACAAGCTTGAGAAGCTCCAGAACATACACGATGATGCCACGTATCAGTACTATGACGTGATGCAGTGGTCCACTGGCGAGGCGTATCGGCGGGCGACTATGAAGGCAATGTAATACCAGCAGTGTAGCTGATATGCTCCTCCTCGTCGATGGGAACTTCCAGGGAGTTGATAAAGTTCACATGTTTTCAGACACAAAGAGTTGGTCCACGAGTTACCATGCGAGAAGTACCGCCCGATAATGTAGGTTGGGCTGGCTCTCTACCTGTGCATTCACTTTAATGCCTTGTTCATGCCAATGGTGAATCGAAAATGAGCAGATAGCCAGCAATAGACCTCCAACTCTCGTATTCTAGCTATGAAGCGTTCTTGATCGTCTTCCCTCTCTGTTTTAAACACACCAACTTCCACAGGTATAAGTTGGTGGTTGACGACACTGAGTTCAGTCCCACAGAGTCCGTGGCGGCTCGAGGAGGCGGAGTGGCGCCCAGTTAACTTCATGGAAGGCGTGTTTCTGTTCTTTACCTATATTGTGTCGGTCGTGCTTCGAATCTCCTTTCTATAGTGAGTAAGTATTCGTCCTTACATCCACTATGTCTAGCAAAATCCTCGGACTGGTCTCTCAAGAATGCCTCGACAAGTTCATGGCCTTCGACATTGAGAAATCCTGTGTGAATGAGTTCATCGTGAACGGCCTCAACATGGTAATAATCGCTCCGCTGACGTGTCTGAATTGCTGTTCTTCAGGGTATCATGGCCGGCGCCTTGGCTGTAAAGATGCCTCAAATCATCAAGATCTTCGCGAATAAGTCCGTGCAGGGTAAGCAGTATTAAACGTTTTAATCACGGGACAGGGAACACTGCTGTAGCAATGAGAATTGTTCAATCTCCGCTGCGGTTCTCGTACGGATCGTTTTCCTTACAGGCATCTCCGAGGCTTCCTTCGCTCTCGAGTTCATCGCCAGCTCTCTCTTCTGCACTTACAACATGCTGATGCGACATCCTTTCGCGGCATGGGGCGAGATGTTCTTCGTTTCCGTGCAGTGTATGATCCTACTCTGCCTTTTCTGGTGAGTCGCTATTCAGCCGGACTTCAACTATGTTTTCTCCAAGGTGGTACGCGCCACAGATAGACCTGCTGCCAAGGGTGCTATTGATGAACATGGGGTCCTTCGGTTTCATGTGGGCGATGAGCGGTCAGATGCCTGAGCAGGTGACTAGCGCGAACTCTGTCAAGTTCAGCACGACCGCTTTCTTCAGTTTTTGCCCCTCCTGGGAATGGCTCCAGCTGTCCTCGGAATTGCAGCGCGGCTACCTCAGATTGCCCTCAACTTCAAACAGGGAAACACTGGTGAGCACAGCGAGTCGTCTGTAAGGCCGATAGACTCAGCTTTTCCACTGTAGGTCATCTGGCCTTCCTCACGTTCTTCCTCTCTTTCATGGGTAATCTTGCCAGGATTTTCACGACCTTGAAACAACTTAATGATCCCGTGACACTGTGAGTCTTCCATGGAGGCACCTGAGAGTATTCATTTTCCCTCAGGGCATCCCATGTCTGTGCCGCGCTCTGCAATGGCACGATAGTTGCTCAAATATTGTATTACTGGAACGCCACTAAGGCTTCGAACGCGCAAGAGGAAAAGGGCAAGAAGGCTAAGAAGGAGGAGTAAATGCAAACTGCTGTCGCCTTGGCAACTGGCAACATTAAACTCGAAGTTTCTGCTCGATCTTGCTGGTGCGCAGTGGTCAATGGTTGGTGTAAGGAGGTTGGTGCCCACAGAGATGGCTGTAACGCTTTTTTATACGTGTCCCCGGAGTACTCTTTAACAGACAATCCGTTCGAAGTTGGTTCAACATCTTTGCAGGCATCAGATCGACCGTTATTTTTTCTGTATTTCGTGCGAGAATGCTCACCTGAAACCTTGATAGACGATAGTCATTGACCACGAGCAGGTATTATCTCGTAGTATTGTCTAGTGAAACCACTGCAGACGATCCCGTAAGCACCCACGAAGCATTCCACCGTAATTGAATCGAACATGTTATCACAGAGAAGATGTTTTTCTGACTATAACCAGACAACTCGACATAGTTCAAGACAACTCCTGTAAATGGTCTCGAGGCCAACTCGTGTCACGAGAATAAGGCCATTCTGCTGATCGACGTTTTCCTCCATCGTTTCCTTCAACTTTACTCGTTGGCCCGATCTGATCGCCAAAGGAATCATACGTATCTGCTCACAGAGGAGTGCACCCACTTTTTTCAATGCTCGCTCGACATGCTTTCCAATGTTGGTGTATATCCTGCGCTCCTCTTCACCAGCTGTATCGATTCGTCCGGAAATGTTGTCGAGCATTTCCTTCGACCGCTGCGGTGACTTATTACGCAACCTGTTGTGGGACCCAATACACGAGCCTATCCAGCACGCATATGTTCACACTATCGATGATCGAACAGAGAACGAGAGGAAATCTATTTTAGCCCTACAGAAAGTTGGCCAGAAGAGGCCGCAGAGAACTTCTTGGTCATAATAATCTCTTGGGCCGCCTTTTTCTTCTTCGTTCCTTTAGCGCCTTTCTTTTTCCCCTTCATTCAGCTGTGGAAGTCCAAAGCCTGATAACTGATGCCTTGACACGCTCCTCAGGGAATCGGAACTGGTCCCTTTATATAAAACGCAACAGTGAAGTCGAATAAAACCAACTACCTGCTTTCTCGCCTCCTTTGGTGTCGAATGATCAATAACAAGCGCATCAACCAAACGAGTGATGATGGATCATCACCCAACGAACCGACCCAACGAACTGTGAATTGAGTCAGTCTGTTACCTCGGAGACAGACTTGAAGATGGTCAGATGATTTGAGCATAGCATCGAGAGACATCTGACTCGTTTCGACAGCCCGTATCCAGACACAACTGCATACAAGGGTCACCAGTCTAATTCGGCGAGACTCGGGTCTACGGTGAGTCAAGCCGGGAAAGCATCCTCTATACAGCGCTCAGAAGACCCCTCTGTTTCCTGAGGTCAGACTTAGGACTCTGTCCTTTCCTTAGGACAGAGCGATCATAGTCTCCGAAGGTCTAATCCGCTTCAGACACGATGTGATCGCCTATAGAGAAATCCTACAAATCGCAGACTTCTCACATTGCCATGTTCAGACGATGATAAGGCTTCAGACATCAAAGCGATTCCCTTCGCATGCTCCGCTGAGTTCTCGCAAGTGATGAACAGCAGCTGTAACGATGACATCAGCCACGTCTCCTGCTCACTCGAAAGTCAACTGGGTGGCGAACAACTGGGTGGTTATTCTCTCATTCTACGCCTCTAGAAGTAGCTGCCGTTATGCGTCTGGCTCTGACCACTCATCGAGCTCTCAATATCAGAGCGTCCGGCTCATAACTTGGCGGATTGGCGCACAGCCACTAGCGAATGAATGGCAGCCTTCAAGTGCACGGCATTCAAAATTTCATAAGCCGCCGACCCAAGACCGGACCGGGTTTCCACAGGTAACTTACCTTTTCTTTGCACCACTGTTATCACCGACTTTTCTCAAGGAGAGCTGCTTTGCCCGAATGTCCGTTCAAACGACTCCGCAAACGTGCATCACCAAAGATAGTTTTTCGATTGTTATGGAAACTCTTGTTGTTCTCTCGAAACTAGAGAGACCAACCACTTCCCATATCCACTGTTGTGACAACTCAAAAAGGAGTGATCTAAAAATAGTATTACTAGTAGCTACAATCGAGTGTTGCACTCCGGCTCAGCAGCCGCGCGAAGTCGACCAAGAACCGCAAGTAGAAAAGCAGCGGAGCTCATCACGAGTACGAGTTTTCTCTACTGCACTAATCCTGCCTCTGACGGCATCTGGATGATATGAAATACCTATTTATTGTACAGATAAAAAGTAGAACTTAAATCGGGCAACAGACAGCTAACTTCATGCTTCGCTCCGTCGGCCAAGACGAGAACGTTCCTCCGTTTTCTTCTCCCTGAACATAATGCATGATGAACCTGCGAGCCACTAACAACTGTACTTTGCCTCAACCGCCTCTCTCGCTTCCGATCTCAACAGCTTCTGTTGAGCTTCCGCAGACCGCTGCGCCTCTCGCTGATTATTCCTCTTCTCGATACGAAACCTGATAGGTGAGCGTCTCAGTCGACATACCGTAAATTCCTCTCCTACTGCTGCTCCCGCTGTTTCCTCGCGCCCCACTCCTGCTTCTGTTCTTTAGTGTGTGAATGCCTACCTCCCTTCCGCATGTAATACGCGCCGTCGATATACCTGAGGCATTGACTCCTCAGCAAGGTCTCCCATCTGAATGGAAACGGGCGCTCGGCAGTATGTCGAAAACCCGGACGGTAGAAGGCACCGCGTTACTCCTCAGGCGCGAAGTTGGGTAACCCTGTCTCCTCAGGAGCGAAGAGCTCCTTGGTAGACTTGAATAGAGACTTCTGTGCAGTGCTACTGCTGCTGCTAATGTTGAACTCGACCGATGGCGCAGCTGATACCATACTCACGTTGTTCGAGGAGCCTACCAATGAGAACGCCTCTGCGGTCAATGCTATGCCTGGCCTTACTACTCGAACCAGAAGACTTAGCCGACTCCTCAGGACTCGAGCTCACGACTGACTCAACGGACCTAGGTAAAGAGCGGAGCCGATGTCAGATTAGACGATTTGCCAGAAGAACGGTATGACATGTACGCGTCCGAATATATATTACTCTAAGTCGCGTCGGCCACTCTTATCCTTCTTCTTCCTGCGATTTTTTCGTGTGCCTCCAGAACCGGCAACCGCCCAACCCTCCTCCTCGTGAGCAATCTTGTCCATAGAAAACTTGTCCAAAATCTAGAAAATCACACCGGTTTATGACGATGAGAAGAGAGCATAGCTATAGTTGACAGTAGAGAACATATAGTGATGGAAAATCCAACTCAACTGCAGATCTAATAGTGTTGAGTTCAACAGTCTCGGACCTAGAATCCAAGCCG